TGACCAATTAAATGAAACGCTTCACAACAACCTTGCTTTCATGTTGTATCGTTTTCAATAACTTGATAAAAGCATGTTAAAGCAAGAGAAAATAACATCTAAGGATCACTCTATAAAATTTATATCATATAAAGATCAAATAATTTTATAATTATTGTATACTTCTCTGATCTTTCTTTTATATTAATTTTATAAATGAAATGATAGAATTGTCCCTCGAGTTAAAAAACTAAAAGAAAAAAGAAACCTCCAACGTCATCAACCATTGAACCATCATCGATACTGAGGTCATCGAAGCTCTAATGCCATTATATTTTTAGATTAACAAGTAACATTAATAAAATAACAATAATTTATTTAAAATTAACAAGAATATATTACGGTTTTAATAAGTTAGACAAATTGACAGGAAGGGTTTAAGTGTATTATTAGTCATTCATCAACAAGTATTCGTTTAGTTTTAACAACAACCCAGCTGTGATTGACAACAATACATGAGGATATTTAACAAGTAAAATGAGTGAAGTTTAAAACGTTCAATTTATAATTGTCCATGTAAAATTAACAAGTAACATTTGTAAAATAATAATTTTTATTTAAAAATTAATAATATACCATTATGTTATTACATGAAAACGATTTTGTGCTTGATTTACTATTTATATATATTTTTCTACTATATGTTATTAAAGGATCAAGCTTTTTAGATGGTCAAAGATTATGAAATCAAACTTTTTTTAAGTCACTTAAAAAGCTTATTTTTCAAATAAATCATTGCGTCAGAGTTTTGATGACTGGCAATAGGCTCCAGTGATCTCGCCACAGCTGATGGTCCGACAGTCAACAGTGTTGGAGTTTTTTTTTGTTAGTTTTTTTAGCTTAAAGGATAAGTCTGTCATTTCGATTATGAAATTAATACCAAGGAAATTACAAAAAGACTGCATGGCAATTATAAAATTATTCAATCTTTATGTGATATAAATTTTATGGAGCAGTACTTGAATGTTATGTTCTCCTGAAACAAGGCTGGGCCATCACACATGAGAGTATGCAGTGCAAGTCAAGTGAAATGCGTCAGACGACTAGCGGTTTTCCCAATACACGAAGTGGGGAAAAATTGCCCACGCTAAACCTCACCACATCAGAAAACGCGTTCAACTAATGGCGGGCCCTTGATATCATTTCAAGTTGCACACTCATTCCTGTAATGAGAGGGTGAGACTCAGTTGTTTCCATAGAATGCGTGCATGCCTACGTCAATTAATGGTGTTTTCCCTTTATATTCATCTATTTGCAATCAGTAATTATACATTATAATGGAGCTGGATTAGTCATAATTAGTTTAATATGTTAAATAATATATAAAATTATAAAATAATTTCTTTCATAACAATAAATTAACATTTAAATAAACTAATACTGTCTAATAGAGATTTTGATAAATATCAAATAACATTTCATAATATTAATTTTAATTTGTTTTTTAAATTATTCATCATAAACTAATGGCCCAAATTTGTTAGATGCAGAGAAGAGTTACCATTAATAAATGTGTACATTAACGTTCCCGCGCAGCCTATGCCTGCTCTCCACCCCAGTTCTTGTTCGTCTCATCTTCATCGTACATTGCGCTTTTTTTGGGTTATAAAAAGGGATTTTTATATGAATTTCCCTGTCATATAGGTTTCATTTATAATAATGTTGATGTTATATAGTATTAGGAATTCCGGATCGCAGGCCCAAAAAAAAGTGTTAGATCAATTATTCACATGTCCCAAATTTAAAATATTTTTAGGTAAAAATTTTATATATTAATAAAAGATAATTAAATATATTTAATTTTTAAAACAAAAATATATTTTTTCCGTTAAAAAGAAACAGGGATAAAAATAAATGCAAATACAAAAATAATATTGAAATAAATTATTTAACTTTTTCGACAAAAAATAAACTATTTAACGAAACTTTAACGTTCCTACATGTCACATTCCAGACTCTTCCTCGGGGTTGATTTTGATCTCCATAGTGATACTTCGATCTATTTATAAATTATTTTAAATATTTTTAATAAAATTAAGAAAATAATTAATTTTATTAATTCTGTTTAAAAATTTAATAAATTTTTAATTTGATTCCTGTTTTTTACTAGTACTTCTACTAAATATAAATACTTTAAAAACAAAATACTCTAATATTTAATAATATTTTTAATATTTAACAGAAATAAAAGAATAAAGAGAAATACACTAATTATTGAGATGAGATATAAATAAAATTTAAAAAATATTTTTTTAATTTTATAAATAAGATCAAGATTATTTATTATTTAATGTTGAAAAGCTAAAGATGCCGCAAAGCCACAGCGTGAAGTGGACGAACTGAAATTCTCCTCCTCGGCAAGCGACGGTGCACTCAAGCGCATGTCTTTTTTTTTTTTTTTGACCCCCCGCACTCCACTTTCTTTTTACTCCCCCCCCCCTTTTTTTGGTTCACCCTTTAATCCCTATTTCGATGTAAACAAAGGGACTAGAATTTTATCCCGGAAAATTCGTTGTCCAATTCGGTCAACTAACTTAACCCGCACATATCTGGGGACTGGGGTTATGGGCAGGGCCTCTTTAAAGTGCGTGCGATTCACTTTCCTGGCTGATGCGGCACACGCGCGCCATCACAACCCGTCCCCGAAACACTGCCCTTGGAGTCCGGAGCGTGAGTCCAGCCGTAAAATCCAACGCAAGATCTGGCGCCGCAATCCATGAGTTTGTCTCATTCCCACGTTCTCTGGCTTAAAATCTCCGCCGTTTTTTTTCAAAAAAAAAAAAAAATTGCCCCCAAACCCCGTTTAAACTCAACCACGGTCAACCAAGGATTAGCCGGGGTCAGTACTGGACCTTGGATTCAACTGCCACGTTGTCATTAATCATTATAAGCCAGCTCATTGTCTGGGGTCCACCGGGGCAGCAGTTCCTCTCTCTACTCTCCAGCAGTGTAGCTTCCTCCGCGTTTCATGCGCAAGCATGGCGTCACGATTTCGCAGCAGTTTCCGCCTCCCCTGCTTCTTTCCTGCTAACGCCTCTCGTGATTTCTTCCTCCAGTAACTCCTGGGCCTCCTTGACCTAATTAATAATTAATGCGTGCCAACAAACACCTAAAAAATCACCCAGTGGTGTTATCACCCCGAAATTAATTATGCTCGGAGAAAAGTCTCTTCGGTGGTTGACAAGTACTAGGATTAGATTAGGATAACGTGCATCCCAACTGGTCCTCTCCCCCATTTCTCTTTATCTAGAGACTTCTTCTGTGTTGCGTGAAGGCCCTGTCCCATTCCACTCCCAAATTAGTTCTCCTTTTCTCTCTCTTAAATAAATAAATAAATAAATAAATAAAATTTTCGTCACGGTTCTAAATCTAGTGCTCCAGTTATCACAAACTCATATTTTATATTACATCATTGGAACCACTTCAAGCTGCCCTTGTTCCATGGTTATTCCAACAGAGCATTCTCGGCTCTTTTTCAAAATAAAAAAAAATCACCTGATTTCTATGTGCTGATTTAAATTTATACAGATCTCACATCACAGACCGGCTAATCCACCAATTCGGACGATAACAAACGAAAACGGCTCCCCACTTTATCTTTTTGTGCGCAGCGATGCCCCCCTCGCCCATAAGATTATATTATCTCTGTGTCAATCTATGATCCAATACTAATTAATTCCCATCACGTACAGAATATTTGAAAAATCTAATCACTGGTCTAAAATCTATTAACTACTGGTATGTACAAGATTATAAGATTCGAGCGACGCAGCGCAAAAAGAAAACAAAGAAGTAAATTTTGTTTTCTTTTAAATAAAAAGGGGGCTAGGTGGCTGTGGTTGAGATAAACTTCAAGAGTAGCTGGTGTGAACGCGCAAATATGGTCAACAGACTCAAAAAAAATGACGAAGTGGGGAAAAAAAGACACTGACATCTGCCGGTTTCGAAAGGGCACGTGTCACCAGATCTGGATAGGTTTGGTACGTGTCCTTATCCGATTGGTAGACATCTCAATCAATTTGAAGATGCCTTCGTCACTACGATTTGGAGCCGAAACTAACCCGCGGTTAGAATTTACGAGGTCGATAATTTTAATTTGAGATGTACTCTAATGAGTCTAAAATATAAATAGTTTTTAAGAAAAGTTTATATGTCAATAAATTTTTTATTTTTATAAAAATATATATTATTTTTTATTTTTAATTACATTATAATTACTAATATATTTCATGAGTAAGATATACATTTATATAAAAATTTAGGTTAGTAAATATAAGGTGTAAAATGAAAATATGTTTTACATATGCTATGCTTTTTCTAAATCATAATATAAGATATCTTTTTAAAATATTATCTACTTAAATTATAAGATATTAAATAACTTTTATATTTATTTTTTAGCAATACATCTGCTTCATTTGTTATTCTTTTTTTCTAAAAAAATTATGCGTTAAAATTTTAATTATTATTATCAAAATTTTTATAAATGCTATATAATATGAATATAAGTGAAAAGATATGAATATTTTTAATAATTTATAATTTTAATTAACATTGTTTGTAAATCATGAATTAATTAATTATAATTTATATTGTAATTTAGGGAGAGTATTATTTATATTTTGGATCAAAATTAATTGAAGAAAAATACTTACTCTTTTAATTTTATTTATCAGATAAAAAATAATATTTATTTTGATTGTATTTATAAAATATGTCAATAATAATTATATTTATATTTATTATTTTAGTTTCATTAAATATTAAAAAATTTATTAAATGTTAAAATATTTAATTTAAAAATTGATATGTTTAATAAAAATAAAGTTAAAATTTATGAAATTTGTAGAAAAAGTTAAGAAAATTTAAAATCCTTTTGATTTAGAGGTGAGAAAGACCTGAGGCTTAAGTAAGCGATAATGAAGGGGGCAGGCGACTATATAAAGGAGTGGGTGTCAAGATAGCAAAATCCAAGAGCGGCTGTGAGGTTACCACTCAAATTATTTTGTCTGTTTTTCTCTCTCTCCGAGAGCAGCTCGCTTTGTGTGCAATTTCCTGATCTTTCCGATCTTCATTCCGGTCTCCCCCTTTCTGTAACGCCCCGCTTCTCTGAATCCCTTTCTGTTAATCATCTGTCTTTCAAGTTATGATTTTGGGTTTGTCTTTTAATTCACAAAGAAGCAAACTTAGAAGGATTTCTCGAAAGCCAGGTGTTTTCAGAATCGAGATCCAGGTGTTTTTACCTTACGCTTTTTTGTATTTTTCAGGTCACTTCAATTTTCCTCATCTTTCAATCAGCTACGAGGGTTGTTTTTGATCCCTCAAAGCACGGTTTTTTCTTTAATTTCTCGGGATTAAAGGGGTTGGGTATTTTTGACCTCTCCTGTCCCTCTTTGTAGAAAAGGTTTTCTCTTTTGTTTTGTTGAATTTTAATCAACGAGTGCCTGTTATTCAGTTTTTGTGAGACGCAGGTTGATTTCAGTTTAAGATCTGTCTGTCCAGTGAAAGTTATGGCAGCTACAATGGATTTCTACAGCAGCAGACCACTTCTGTCAGATCCTTTCAGGGGTGAACTAATGGAAGTTCTTGAACCTTTTATGAAGAGTCCTTCCACAACTACCTCCCCCTCCGCAGTTTCATCCCAATACTCTAATTCCCCTCTCCCCTCTACATCTTACTCTGCTTCTTCTCCCACCTCCTTCCTATCTTCTCCATCAGTCCCTTCACAGCCCAGTTTTGTGGCAGACGGTTGCTCTGCATCGATGACTCCCATATTTAGCGATGGGTTATCGAACAGCCTCGCCGCAAGCGGCCTCGGGCAACACAGTTCGATACTTGGGCTCAACCACCTGACTCCGTCTCAGATTAACCAGATCCAAGCCCGGATCCAGATCCAGAACCATCAAAACCTTTGCTGGCAGCAAAATAGTGCCACTCTCGGCTTCTTGAGTCCCAAACCTATTCCTATGAAGCACGCGGGCGTGCCTCCCAAGCCCACCAAGCTCTACAGAGGTGTGAGGCAACGTCACTGGGGAAAGTGGGTTGCCGAGATCAGGCTCCCTAAGAACCGCACTCGACTGTGGCTCGGCACCTTCGACACCGCCGAGGAAGCCGCCCTAGCCTATGACAAGGCCGCTTACAAGCTCAGAGGTGACTTTGCCAGGCTCAACTTTCCCAACCTGCGACACCAAGGTTCCTGTGTCGGCGGCGAATTCGGGGAATACAAGCCGCTCCATTCCGCTGTGGACGCCAAGCTTCAAGCAATTTGCGAGAGCTTGGCCGATCTGCAGAAACAGGGCAAGTCAGGAAAGCCAACGAGCTCATCCAAGAGGTCAGGGGGGCGGTCGAAGTCGGGTTCGAAAGATGCGCAGTCGGCAGCCAGCGAGGCGGATGTGAAAGTTGAAAGCTCCTCCTCACCGGCGATGACGGAGAGCGAGGGATCTGGGGGATCTTCGCCCCTGTCGGATCTGACTTTTGCGGACGTGAGCGAGCCACAGTGGGACGGCGCGTTGGATAATTTGAGTCTACAGAAGTACCCTTCTTACGAGATTGACTGGGCATCTCTGTGAAGGGGGACGTTTGGTTTTTAGTGCGTGTGTTATATGTAATGTTGATTAAATTGTAGCGGAGTCGTATCATGCTTAGTCCAGTATGTTAGGTGTTATGTGGCCTGTTGCAATGGAATTTTAGACAATTGCAGGGCTGCTCTTAGGATTTGTAGTGGTGTTAATCACTGTCCTGTCAATATGTAGTGTCCACCGAGGGGAGCCTGGTTTTTTCTCGTTTTCCCGTGGAGCAGTAGTAGAATAACTCCGACTAGGTCGTAGCTGTTTATTGCTGTAATTGACTCTTTCTATGTTATTTCCTCCATATTTGTGTATCGTGTTTCTGGATATGATATTGTTGGGTGTGAGCAGTTTATGTTGAGAAATCCCCGGATTTCGTGTTTTTGTTGTAGTTAACTTGCAAACATATACAGATCGGAGGTGAAACGAAAGAGGAACTGGGAGTGATTGTATCATGCAAGGGGAACGTGCGTATTTTCACCTACATGCTCAAGATTTCGTGATGCCGGAAACGTGATATTCCTTCCATAAATGAAAAGAGGAACATGATGGCATCGAGGGTAGAAAAGGAAAAGAGGGAGGGGGGCAGGAGTGAAATACAAAATAGTAATTGTTTGGGAGGGAGTTTGATTGGTTTGGATGAGTGCAACACGCTAATCAGCAACCGTCGAATGTGGATGGTGCTGTCTGCATCCAATAATTGATGCCGTAGTGAAAACTGAACCCAATTCAGGTTCAATCTACGCATGCGCTTCGACAGCTCCCCCATCATTTCCGACTAAAATCGTCCACCTCTCTACAACTTTTATTATTTTGATTTACACATTCAATTATTTCTAAATCATATTTCTTTTTCAATTTCATCAAAAGTGTCACCAATTCATCAATAATTTTATGTAAATTATAATATACTTTAAGACCACAGTTAAGTACAGTATGTCTCTAAGATATTTGAAATTAAACTATTCGGGGTAAATTGGATTTTACCTGTATTCGTGTTTAATAAATCTGCCCGAAAATAAAATCAATGAAATGACTATTCACTTGCTGCCCGCGCGTCGAATTCAAGGTGGATTTTGGGTTTGATGCTTAAGGAATTTTAGTTGTTGTCCACTTTTTTTTCTTGGACGAAAATTCAAACCTTTGCTCAACCTTCCCTTTGCATTGCTTTGAACCAAATAAATTTAAGTCGTGAATGTTGTGTCCTCTCGTGACAGTCTTCAAATCTTGGGATAATAAACGTGTGGAGGAAGATCAAAACGATTTTATGGAAGAAGAGGCACCATTCCATTTCAAAATTTGATCCCTTCTCAAAATACGTTTCGCTTTCGAGTCTGAAATCTTTGAGGCCAAAACAGGATATAATGTTGAGAATTAATTTTCGGTTGCCTTCTGCAAAATTAAATATGGATGAGAATTATTTTGTGGATCGCTTTGAAAGCAATACTTGGGATGGGAAGCATGCCACGGCAGAAGAGTTTCGCATACTTGCAAATGGAGAAACAGAGCTGGCTTCAGAAAACGCACGGATTCATATTTTGGATATATTGCAAATAGAGCTTCCCATATGCAAGGCTTCGTAGTTTGCAGTTTGTTGAACTTTGGTTTTTCTGCCCCTTGTGATAAGAAAGGGGGAGAGAGAGAGAGAGAGAGAGAGAGAGAGATTCAACAAGGTTAAACAAATTCAAATAGCTGAGCTAATTGGGATCATACAAGGTTTGAAACTCTGCTGGTGTAAAGGATTCAAATCTGTGGACGTGAGATCGGACCGCATCTGAGGCTATCAATTTGTGAACAAGGGGATGTGATGATAATATCCCTCCCAAGATATTGTAGGTGATACTATCTATTTTTCACAGTAATGGGCAAATACATCTAAGTCATTGGTACAGGAAGGTAAATTGAGAGTTGTTTGAGTCATGTCAAGAAACATTATTTTTAGAAACACACCGGGACGACGGACTGATAGTTTTTCAAAATTAAACAAACACTTCCTGAACAAGCAAGCATCGGAATAGCAGCACTAATAGGAAAGGAACTTAGATGAAGCATATAGACAAGGCAGAGGAGGAAAGAAATGGCTCGAAACCTAATAATCAATTCAATCCGCATGCAAGCCTATATAGGCTAAAGTCTTTGGACAAACATTTGGTAAATCCAATGCTTTTTGAACTCATGCGCAGGGAGGCGAATTGAATATAGGCTAAAGTCTTTGGACGAACGTTGGGGGAAACCAATGCTTTTTGAACTCACGCGTAAGGAGGTGGATCAACTATTTTCAACTGCAATTACATTAAATTGGCCTATTTCATATGCGCAAGCTCACTTTTCTTTCAAACTTATTTTATTAGTCCATTTATTTTTTAGTACTTATATACCATAAATACTCTTTATTTAGGCAATGTGGGATTTCTTTTAACACACATTCAATTACTACAACAAATCATGCTCATTTGCTAGTTAGGTTTTCCTTTGATTTAGATGTTCCATTTTTGTATCCTTGATCAACCATCATATGGAGATGGAGAATGATGAGGGAGATTAGGCTTTTTCTTGCTTCTTTTGGGTTTTGTTCAGGTTGTAAGTTTGTAGTTCAGGGATAGGTATAAACAAAATAAAAAAAGGAAAGAAGGAAAAAGAGAAGAAAAAGAAAAATCAAATATTGTCCTCATCCCGAATGAAATCGTCTTGGCCTTGATGAGCACACCACTCATCAGCATGATGCAATCTAGACCATCTAGATTTTTAATCTGGACGGTCCATATTTAAAGAAATAATTTAATATTTTTAAAAATAAAAATTTATTAAAATTATAAGAAAGTTCTATTAAATATTTTTTTGAATAATCTAGTCTATATTTAATTTAGTGTGTTTAATTTAACATTAAAATTTTTATATTTTTATATATTAACTATTCAGATGTATTCTGTACAGTTTAGATTTAAAATTTTTAACTTGTAATTTTTTAAAAAATATTTTTTAAAAGTTATAATTAAAATATTATATATTTTATTTTTTAATATTGTATTCACCAAAATAAAAAATAAAAACTTTAAATTTGAACCTTATAGATGAACATTTGATATCGAATATGGACTGTCCAAAATACATATAGATAGTTAATTTAAAAAGTTATAATATTAAATTAAACCACCTAAGTTAAATTAATACTATTCGATGATGAACCTATTTATAAAAAATTATAAATTTTTATTTTAATAATATAAATATAAATATAAATTAAAATTAAAAAAAATTAATCTGGATGGCCCAGATTTATTTTTATGGATGAGCACCGAAGACGGACCCGGCTAGAACTGGGTGAGGTATGGATTCCAAAGGTGTCAAAAGTAAGAGGCTACAAGGAAAGATTAGTAAATTTGAGGAATCAAATTCTTGTGGTCACAGCAGTGGAAAGGTATAAAATGCAAATGAGCCCATACAAGATTCTGCATTGGAGGATATACAACTTTTTCGCTTTCTACACATTCCTTCTTCACCCGAATGGTTTCTTTCTTTCGGGTATTTATAATAAAAGTAAAGCGAGCATGAAGGGCCAGGAAGAAAAGAGGAGGGGATTGACGGTTGGCTTTTAATGCATCTATCTTTATCGTAGTTGGGTTGAAAAAATTTTTAGTTGCAAAATTATGGATTTGCAAGTAAGATTAGTACTAGTTGCAAATGATTGTTCGAAAGCATATTCCCTCCTCCGTCTTTAACTGCTACTATAAGCTAATTAAGCTTGGTCTTTCGATATTTCTATTCGCAAAAACCATCCATTTTCAAATATATTCAATGCTCCTTTCCAAATATTCTCATTTAAAATTCTTCGTGCTTTTAGGCGGTAAATTTATCTTCTTCATGGCCACAAAGTTAAACTTTAATAACATAGCCATTCAGTATTAACTAATCTTTTCAATGAGTGCCAAATAATTAAAATTTGCTTATAATTTTTTTGGCCAAAACAGAGTCAATAATTAAAGACAGAGGGAATAACTGTTATTAAATAAAACTCCCTTTACTTTTTTTCTTTGACCAACTATACTCCCTTTATTTCATATGTATTTTTGGCAGAAATTTTTTATTTTTTTTTAGGATTAATGAGTAAATATGATTCTAAATTCTCGCTCGGAAATCATTTTGGACCCTTAACTCTTAAAATATGAAAAATAAATTTTAAAATTTTAAATTCATAATAAAATAAATCTTGAACTCTAATTTTTTAATACTGTTATTATCCACATAGATATTGTTCAAGGTTTATTTTTTCATAGATTTAACTCTGATTGTTATAATACTCGTGTGGACAATAACGTTGTTAAAAAAAATTAATGATCAAGTTTATTTTGTTATGAATTTAAAAATTTAAAATATATTTTATATATTTTAAAAGTTAATGATTCAGAATAATTTTTGAGTCATAATTCAGATTTCGTTTATTCATTAACCTTTTTTTTCAGTGACATTTTAGAAATTCATTTTTTATCGTAGAAAAGTCCACATTCTTTATTGCGGTCGGGATATAAATTCCTCAAGATTAATTTATTTGTTATTCTTCCAAAGCAATCATTAAAGGCCATAGCTGGAGGGAAATTTTTTTTACAAAAAGTCCCAAAATAAAATAAAGAATTTACGACATGTAGGTTCAAACAAAATTTTAAAAAAGCTAAGATTAAAATACATTTTTAATCATCTAACTTTATATAAAGTTTTAAGTTACACCTTTAATTTTATAAATTATTTTTTTAATCATTTAGTTTAATATTGTTAGATTCAAATGATTATTTTTTATATAAGTTATTGTTATTTTTAAAAAATAAAACTTAATATGTCAATATTTGAGAATATTTTATTAATATTTAAAAGGTCAATATAAAAATTTGTTGGGATAAAATTATGTTGGGGTTAAAGAATTAAAACAATATTTTATAAAGTTAAAGGATTAAAATAAAAACGTATAAAGTTTTTTGACCAAATGAATATTTTACCCTAAAATGAGTCACAAATATTGATTTAAACAGTATGATACTAATGTCGAATAATATCAAAATGTAATAAAAATTAAATTTTGTAGTAAAGCATAATTTAAGTTATTTCTTTAAGAATTAATGAATTAATTACTTCAATTAGGATTATGAAAAAGCTAAATAGTGGGGTGATTTTTTTATGACAAAATAAATTAAAATTAAATAATTAAGGCAAGTTCAACTAAGAAAAATCACCAAGCATAGAAAGCACAATGAATAACAATCTAATCATCTAAATTTAATCTTTTTCATCCACAAAATAAATTAAATTTATTTAAATTTATTATTCTAGTTTTATTCTATATTTTTTATAAATTATCATTCAAAGATTAAACAAA